TCACTTCCTGGCAAATAGATGGGGAAGAAATGGAGGTAGTGACAGATTTTATTTTCCTGGGCTCCAAGATCACAGCAGACAGTGAATGCAGCCAAGAAATTAAAAGATGCTTGCTCCTTTGAAAGGAAAACTATGGCAAATCCAGACAGCATACTAAAAAGCAGAGACATCACCCTGCCAACAAAAATGCGTACAGTCAAGGCTATGGTTTTCTCAGTTGCAATGGTTTTCCCAGAGGCTATGCGATGGGACAGCATACAAACATTATAAATAAATAAATAAAATGTATGGCTGTGAAAGTTGGACCATAAGGAAAGCTGAGTGCCAAAGGACTGAGGACTTTGAATTGTGGTGCTGGAGGAGACTCCTGCGAGTCCCTTGGACCACAAGTCGATTGAACCAGTTTGTCCTAGAGGAGATCAACCCTGACTGCTCTTTAGAAGGCCAGATACTGAAGATGAAACTCAAATACTTTGGCCACCTAATGAAAAGGAAGGACTCCCTGGAGAAGAGTCTAATGCTGGGAACAATAGATGGCAAAAGAAGAAGGGGACGGCAGAGGATGAGCTGGCTAGATGGAGTCACTGAAGCAGTTGGTGTGAGCTTAAGTGGACTCCGGGGGATGGTGGAAGACAGGAAGGCCTGCAGGAATGTTGTCCATGGGGTCGCAATGAGTCGGACACGACTTCGCAACTAACAACAACAAATTCTTAAAAGTATTATTAGCTGAAAATTACAGTCTGGAACAAGTAAACTAGAACACCTGATTGACTAACAAAATTATGACATCATAAGGCAGGCAACAAGTGTATCTGCAGTAACCAGATACACTTTGATACACTGAATGATCTAAAGTAGACTGAGAAAGATTTCTGGTTTCCTGTTGTTCAACAACAACACACCACACTGCTTAACCAAAAAAAGTTCCAAATTGTTTAATTGTAATCCTTAGCCATAGGCCATTCACTAAACTATAAGGACAGCGTACAGAAAACTGATCAAAGCATCAAGTGGTACAACCATACAGCAATGATTAACAGGATACAGGAAAAGTGGTGGATCAAATTACATGGGAGATCAATTCAATTGGCCATTTTACTTAAGAGACTGTATTGATAATTTTAAAAGTTACCTGTGTAAAAAATCTGGTGCTTTATTTAGCAGGGTATAGTACTGCCTCACAAACTCCCGCCCTACAAGCAGCGGACTTGGCTTCTCCATCACCATTTCTTTGGTACACAATGTCAAAGGCTACAGTAAAAGAGAATAAATGCAGTATTGGTAAACACTTCAAAATGACCAGCTTTAAGTGCAATAGAATTTAACAGTGGAAAAAATGTATTTAGCACAATTCAGCTTTTCAAAATCAGAAAAGAGGTGGCTCTTTTACTTTTCTTTCAGGCTTCTGATACACCAGTATAATATACAGACAAAGGAGCTTATCACTCACAGTACAATCCCATGCATGTCTACTCAGAAATAAGTCCCATTAAGTTCAATGGGACTTACTCCCAGATAAGTGTACACAGGCTTATAGAAACTACAATCCTACCTACACCTTGGAGTAAGGTCTACTGCACACAGTGGAATTTACTTTGGATCATACATAGGGCTGTTATTCAAAGTAGCACATCTCTGGGACTGTATATCTAATGACTACAATTCCCACCTAAGAAAAATCCTAAGATGTGTTACTTGGACTAAATCATAAACAGGTTGCCTTTTAACTGTCAGAAGTTGATTACTATTAATACCTGCAGCTAAAATTTGCAACTTTTGATTTCAGTTTTAACTTTTTCAAACCAGAAGAAAGAACAGTTTAGTATTCTATTTGTTCAAATAAGCACTTGCTAGTACACCTTTTAAAGTTTTGGCTAATTCATCAAAAAGAAGAGGAAAACATTAGTTATCTTCTTACAAGGAATGACACTAACATAAGGAAAATAAGAATAATTTTCACAATGAAGCCACACAGGATGAATTTATTTTTAATATTCATAAATGTACTATTTGTGTGGAAATAAATAAAATCAAACTGACCAATTTGATGCCAACATTTACAGGATGATACTAGCCATAACTGGGAACTAATTCTAATAATTAATTCCACAAGGACTTTATCAATCAAGATGACTAAACCACTAAGAAGCTGCAAAACTTCATGCTAATAACTCAAGTATTCCAATAGAAATATGCCAACTTTTTTAAAAATAAAAATTAATAAACATTAAAAGTATATTTCAATATATACAGTGTATCACAGCAGTGAGTACACCCCTCACATTTTGTAAATATTTTATTATATCTTTTCATGTGACAACCCTGAAGAAATGACACTTTGCTATAACGTAGTGAGTATACAGCTTGTATAACAGTGTAAATTTGCTGTCCCTTCAAAATAACTCAACACACAGCCATCAATGCCTAAACCGCTGGCAACAAAAGTGAGTACACCCCTAAGTGAAACTGTCCAAGTTGGGCCCAAAGTGTCAATATTTTGTGTGGCCACCATTATTTTCCAGCACTGCTTTAACCCTCTTGGGCATGGAGGTCACCAGAGCTTCACAGGTTGCCACTGGAGTCCTCTTCCACTCCTCCATGATGACATCACGAAGCTGGTGGATGTTAGAGACCTTGCGCTCCTCCACCTTCCGTTTCAGGATGCCCCACAGATGCTCGATAGGGTTTAGGTCTGGAGACATGCTTGGCCAGTCCGTCACCTTTACCCTCAGCTTGTTTAGCAAGGCAGTGGTCGTCTTGGAGGTGTGTTTGGGGTCATTATCATGTTGGAATACTGCCCTGCAGCCCAGTCTCCGAAGGGAGGGGATCATGCTCTGCTTCAGTATGTCACAGTACATGTTGGCTTTCAAGGTTCCCTCGAACTGTAGCTCACCAGTGCCGGCAGCACTCATGCAGCCCCAGACCATGACACTCCCACCACCATGCTTGACACCAACTGAACCAAATAAGTTTATCTTGGTCTCATCAGACCACAGGACATGGTTCCAGTAATCCATGTCCTTAGTCTGCTTGTCTTCAGCAAACTGTTTGTGGGCTTTCTTGTGCATCATTTTTAGAAAGGCTTCCTTCTGGGACAACAGCCCTGCAGACCAATTTGATGCAGTGTGCGGCGTGTGGTCTGAGTACTGACAGGCTGACTCACCACCCCTTCAACCTCTGCAGCAATGCTGGCAGCACTCATACATCTATTTCCCAAAGCCAACCTCTGGATATGACACTGAGCACATGCACTCAACTTCTTCGGTTGACCATGGCGAGGCCTGTTCTGAGTGGAACCTGTCCTGTTAAGCCGCTGTATGGTCTTGGCCACCATGCTGCAGCTCTGTTTCAGGGTCTTGGCAATCTTCTTATAGCCTAGGCCATCTTTATGTAGAGCAACAATTCTTTTTTTCAGATCCTCAGAGAGTTCTTTGCCATGAGGTGCCATGTTGAACTTCCAGTGACCAGTATGAGAGAATGAGAGCAATAACACCAAATTTAACACACCTGCTTCCCATTCACACCTGAGACCTTGTAACACTAATGAGTCACATGACACCGGGGAGGGAAAATGGCTAATAATGCTCAATTTGGACAGTTTCACTTAGGGGTGTATTCACTTTTGTTGCCAGCAGTTTAGACATTAATGGCTGTGTGTTATTTTGAGGGGACAGCAAATTTACACTGTTATACAAGCTGTATACTCACTACTTTACATTATAGCAAAATGTCATTTCTTCAGTGTTGCCACATGAAAAGATATAACAAAATATTTACAAAATGTGAGGGGTGCACTCACTTCTGTGATACACTGTATACTAATAAAATATATTTGGTGCTGTCCAAATTTCACACCTGCAGTCCTAGATATGCCTACTCAGGTTCCACTGATTTCAATGGGGCTTACTCATAATGGAGTATAGAATAGCTCATTCAGTAAAATATAATTTAAAAATTATAAAACCTTTTAGCTAAATAATTTTAGCTACTGGAAAAACATTAGAGATATTTAAACAAATAAAATGAACATGTACCCAAAAAACCCTCAAGTGATTTATCTGAATATAGCACATGTTTCATTTTGCTTACCAAATTTAAGTCAAAAATGCTAAATTGATTTAGGGTAGCAGATATTCTCCAATGCAATTTTTTTCTGGAAGCTCCATTATTACTGGGCTTCCTGCAGAGAGGGAGGAACTTTGGTTATGGGAACCACAGGCAATGTTTAGCACTAAAATATAAGCATCGTTTCTGGTACCATTCCCCAAAACTCCAGATACAAATACCCAACTGGTATTTTATCAACACAAATGGATATGCAAAGACAAAGCACTTAATACAGATAAACGGAAAAGATATCATGCCTATACGTCTTCATGCTTCAGTATGCATAACTTTCTTGGCTGTATTCTACTGACCAGCCAATTCTTCCTCTTCTAACAACTTAGAAGCAGCAGTGTTCACAGAGGGCAAGTTCACAAATGTGGATAAGGGGAGAGAAAGAACTGGTGACATTAACCTCACATGTAGCTAAGCTCTGTACTGGTAATGCTAGGTCTCCAGCTATTACTAGTGCAATCAAAAATCATGTCACATTTGGCCTTGAAAGATCATAATCTTTATTTCATATCACGTAAAAACATATACTGTGTATAGAATCAGGCAGAAGGTGCTGAGCAAGGGCACTGGAAGGACATCTAAGTGGTAGCACTTTCTCAATCAATTGCTTAAAAGCACCTATTGATATGGGGAAACAGACATGTAAAGGAATGGGTAAGATTGAGGGGGGATTAAAGTATCTTGGAGCATTAATAAGCAGAACCAGACAACTGAGTGCAGGAAAATGTAAGAGATTATAAGGTAGAGGCTCAACAGTGCAAAAGGCAACCTGGGTTATGTGGGAGCCACACAACTGATCCAATGTAGTACTTCTTTTGATTGACTGAGATGCTGTACTTACTCAAATGTCTTGTGTGTATCTACTACTCCTGCCTTTCATGGTGTCATCCAGAGTTCAAACCTTTGATGTTGCAAAGGGTAGGGTCCCGTATGCAACCCTCATGCTTTTGGTATATGTAGCTAGGTTTGTGAACTGACAGCTTTGGATAGCAAATGCTATGGTGCATCTTTCCATCACCTGCTGCTGTGGCTGGGTGGCTAGAGAGATGTCTTCTGCAGTTTAGGTGCCACTACTGCTTTCCCCTCTTAAATGGCTGATTATGGCCAAATATAAAAAGCTGACTTTGCTAGTAATCTTACCATTATCTGATAAGATTTGAACCTCCTTTACTCATTTCCCATTCCACTGCTTTATGCCAAGAATTAGCAAAAGGGACAGTTGTGATTTCCTCTGCAACTTCTTCCAGTTCATGGGCTTGTACCCTACCCCTTTCAGGCCTAGGAGAAATGTCTTTTCCTCACTGCCTTGGGCCCCAACTATGGGCTTTCCAGAAGCATTTGACTGCCCACTATACAGACAAGGATGATGAACTGTGTTACAAAGAGCTCTTTTTACAGTTCTCTTAGATTAAAATACTTAGTGTGCACACATGCAGTACTTAACTGCCACTCTCTAAATGGCAAACAAATGTATTTCAATGCTGGGGTAAGGTACAATACATTCATGTTAGGACATATTCATGAACATGTATATTGTTTCATCTGTTAATATGTTCTAGAGTAAGGCAACCATAATGACCATGGTGAGGTCTATGACTATTATAATCCAAAAACCTGGAACACATCAGGTCCCTGGCCTCTTAATTAGAGGTACTGTGTTTTTAAGCAGACCTACCTCTATTTATTTTAAAATCAAATATAGGACTAGTTCAATTACTCAGAAAATAGAGCTATCAGCTGGTGGATAAGCCTTAAAGTAATAGTGGGAGCAACATGCTCAGGCAGCAATCCCTGGTGAGACCAGGGGTGTAAACACACAGTATTCCTGTTTTTGCCTATGAAATATGAGTAAGCATAGCCCTGTGGGTGGCTAAGACCTAAGAAACTGAAAGGCTCTGCTTTGAATCTCAGCCTTTTCAAGCTGCTCCCTCATTATCATCCTGACCCATCCATAAGTTGATATACAGGGCTATTTCAAAATTTACTAGCTAAAACACAAAATTATTCTGCATATTCAGAGTACTATATAAAAACCAATATCATTCAAGCCATGTAAGTGTCCGTGTATGAACGAGGGGTGGCTGGGGACAAATGGGTATGTGCTGCTGGGGAATAATACGAGTTTTAGTCTAGCACATCTACATGGCACTAAGTCGGGCAAGACTGACCTACGGCTTACAAAGGAGAACTTTGGGTTCGCTCTATGCTGCGTAGGCATCTTTAAACCATCTTTTGCTGTCGTTTCTTTTGCTTAGCAAAAGGAAAGGAGAAGGGGGGAACCCTGTCCAAAAACGAACAAATCATGAAGTCGGCCTGCAATGCTGCTGACAGCAGCAGTAGCCTCCTCTTCCCTCTCCTCCCTCTCCCGTTTCTCTGAGGAAAAGCCCCCCAGAAGATAACCTTCTCGACTGAGACTGGCCCCAGACCCGGCAAGGAATGGCAGCCACCCACAGCCGGGCTGGGCCTCTCCACCCCATCCTACCCGTTACCAACCTATACGCTCTCCTCGGTCTCAGGGTCCGGTACGCTCCCGGCCGAAGGCACGGGGAGGAGCGACTGGTGCGGCGCGTCCCTCCCTCACACTGATTCGGGGCGGAACCGGATGTCCCCACCGCGCGCTCTCAGTCGAGGAGAGAAAGAGAGCGCGCGCACTGCCTCGACAGCGGGCCAAATGTGGGCGGGGTCAGGGTCACGGCAGAGGCCCCTCGACGCGAAGGTTTCAGGGATTGAGAGAGACTTTGTTTTGCTCTGAGTTGGAGGGTCAGTGACAGGTTTCAACTTTGGCCGAACCCTTATGAACTGTCCCTTGGGTTCCAGTGGGAGGAACCCCAGCACCGCAATCAGAGGCCGATCACGAGTGGCTCCAAGCTGTGACGCCCTCTAAGCACAGCTTCTGGGATTCTATTCCCCCAAGGCACATTTTCTTAATATTAGGAAAAAGAGTTCTGTATAGGCCTCACTTCCGGTTCCAATTACACTGGAGTGTTCTAAAAATTGTAAAGATAGCTTGAATAATTTCCTTTTTATTTTTTGCAGTGTATTAAAGCGATCATATCTTTGTTCTCTCCACTCATTCCTTTTGCTCAGTTGAGAATTCTGGTCTGGATGAGGTTGGGAAAGAAAGCAGAAAAGTTCAGGTTGACATTCAGTGTGTTTTTTTGACAGAAAGCATATAAGTAGGAATGGAATTGAATGATCCAGAAATAGGCTGTTACGAATAAAACTGGTGCAAAACCAAAACTTGATTGATTTGTTAGAGATAATTACAAGCTGTATGTTAGAATGAGTATTTCTAACCCTTCCAATGCCTGTTTTAATATTACAATTTAATAGCTGCTTCACATCCACAACTCACCTGAAGCAGAAGAGAATAAGTCAGAAGAGTTTATTTTTGCAAAGATGGGAGTGCTAAGTTAGTTTGAGAATAATCTTTCAGCAATGTAATCCATGTATTATTAAAATTTAACAACCTGTTCCCAGTCAAAATGCACTTTCAGGGCAACAAACATAGATACTTGACCTTAAGGAATTGATGACAGCTGTGCTCACATATCACAAAGGATTAGTCACACTGGTGTTAGTAGAACAGGAAACATCCAAATAATTGTTCCAACCTTTCTGGTCAATAAATGGCATTCTGGGAAACCAGACTGAAATGCCATCTTCCAAGCTAGCAGCATCAACTAAATTCACACATCTCAATGAACTAAAGAAAAAATACATAGTAAGCTACAAAATTTTCAGAGAATTCAGGATGCATATGAGAAGGTGAGGATGATGGTATATACCACAAACCTTCCACAGATTTCATATTCCCTATCCATTCCAGGCTGTAAAAACAGTGCTGAAAAATATTTTTTGACCATGATGGGTACTAGAGCATGGATCCTGCAGAAATGTTGTGATCTGCTGTCCAATCATATGTTTACTTGGAAGTAAGCTCTTTGAGCTTAATGGGATTTATTCTATAAATCATTCTAGAGTGTATAGAACTACAGCCTTACTGAATCATTCCCATCCACTGTGGCTTGTGTATTCAGCTGATCACATGAAACTTGTCATTATGAACTTTTGATTAATTCTGTCATGGAATATTTTGCCCTCAGTGCACAGCAGAACACTGAACTTTTAGGTTTATTGTTTCAGAATATTATTCCAACTTAGTCATTTGTGTGTGTGAATTTGGCTTGGATCAATACCATAAAATTTGAATGTTCCCCCACCTTGGAAATAAGCAAATCCAAATTTAATAATAAACAGCTTTCATGTCTCATGAACATTTACCACATACTAGATTCTTGAAATTTTTGCTTGTGTTTTTAAATTAAATTTCATCATGTTCTGGATTGTTTCCAGGTGTGAAAGGGGATAAACAAGAACCAGTGTAGTATAGTGGTTACAGTGTTGACCTGGCATCTGTGAAATTCAGGTTCTAGTTTCCACTGGGCCTTAAAACTCAGTGGGTGACTTTAGGCCAATCACAGACAGGGTTGTTGTGAGGATAAGTTAGAGAGGAGAAGCATTTGCTACCTTGATTGAAAGAAAAAAGTCAGATACAAATATAGTAAATAAATAAAATATTGATGTAGGTTTCTTTAACACATGCTGGTTCTTCAAGCTTTTACACTGTCACCAAAACCATAACTGGGATAATGGATAAATGCCAGTGGAGTTCAGCACAGGGTGTTAATGGTTCTCAGTTTCAGCACACCTCTACAATGCACTAGCACTCTATTTGCATTTTTACATATGGGTCATGTTTAAAAACTGAAATCATTCAACACAAAATTGAAGTTCAAATCATGCTAATAGCCTGTCCGTTGTTTCCTATGGACAGCTATCACTTTCTCCCAAGGGGAGAACAAGAAATGGGAAGACAAGCAAAAAACCAGTAAACACAGTTTTCTAAACAATAGTATTGTTAGTATAACACACTTTTAAAAAATTCCCCTGCCATAAATTAAACATATGGTGCCACACATCGGCTTTCGGCAATCATCAACAGAGGGATTCTTAAAAAGTAAGAACACATGTCATTGCCAGAATGCAGAACTTCCTAGTTCATGCTGGAAGCCATTTTCGTTTTCTCCTCTCCCTTTAAATCTCCATTCCATTAGAAGAGAAAGTTACCCCCCTGAGGTCAATCTAAAATTCTGACATAACTGCGATTGTAGTGCCTCCTCTCAAAATCAAAAAAGTAGCAACAAAGGCAGCGTACCTGCTCCTTTTACGTGAAATCTTAGTTCATGTGAACATTATACTTAGTTTAAGTTGTACCTCTACTACAGGCCGTTATCCTCAAATTCTAGTTTATATGTGGGGTGGCCGAATGTCTTACAGAATTCAAGTGATGTAGTCCATTACAATATTACAAGCGGGACGTTAGGTTTTCAGTCCACAAATCAATCAATCAATCATTCCACTCAAGTTGCGTTCAATTTAACTTGTCCCGTCAGACTTCCACTTAGTACAAAATTCAGCGCTCAATCGTATGTCGACGCATCGCGCTCCATTGACTTGTACCATTGTGCGCAAACACGGATGATAGGCTGAGAAACAACCAAACATTCAAGTTCTCCGGTTTAAAGAAGGCACTTGCTGCTCTAAATCTTGAGGTTTTCTTTATTTTCTATAGGCAACTTTCCAATCCACCCCCGAAAGAAAGACGGGTAGCGAAACCGGAAGTTAAGGCTGTGAATCACTTAATAGTCTATCTCTATGATAGCCACCTTGGTGCCACGTCTTGGCGCAGGCGCGTTGTGGTAAGTTCCTGTTGCTGACGGGTCTGAGTCAGGAGTCGCGGCCTAAGAGCAGTTGGACGGGGAGACCGGCAAGCAAACATGAACTTCTTGCGGGGCGTTATGGGCGGCCAGAGCTCTGGGCCCCAGCCTTCTGGAACTGAGACGGTGAGCAAGGTGGCCTGGTGAGGAAAGTTTGTGTAGACTTTGAACCGCCCCACTGCTCACTTGGGCACATTTTCTTCAGCTCTCCCCTTCCGACTGACTTCCTACTTCACTCGTCCGCGTTATGTCGCACCTGGTAGAAAAGGGCCATTTCACATCACTGCAAATCTGGGTGTGCGTCTGCATTTGACAAAGGAGTGCAGCCAATTTTGCCTCTCCGAGTGGTCCCGTGTGCTGTAGTATTTCTTTCCAGTATATCCGTAAGAGATCCCTTGGTGTGTTCCCATAAATAAAACATACTATAGGTAGTAGTGGGGTGTGAATTTAGTATGGCATATGTGTTTGCTATTTTCTCAGATTACATCTCAGGCGTCCTTTAAAATTCCTATTATAGTAATGTATGTTGCGGATTAGTCATTTCGTTAGTGCTTCATCTTTTCACTGTACGTGGCCATCTCCATTACTTTGCATAACTTGTTATCTCTGTTCTTCTGAATTGAAAACGTGTACACAAGTACATGTAGCCTGCTGTTAAAAAGCATTAATGACCTTCCACTGTGCCCACATCCTCTGTAGTAGCTTACTTGTCTTGTGCTATCTGTCTGTTGCCCCTATTTATTTCCTAATTTGTCTATGTTCCTTCTTAATCTACATCCACACCATTCATAGTTTTTACATGTTCATGTTGCTTTCCATCCTGGTCTGTCCCATATCATTATGCCGGTTTCAAATGTGTGCTTATCTACTCTTGAAATCTGTTGTCACATAATCTCATGTATGACTTTAATAATCAACATGATTGTACTTTGTGTGGTGTCATTTTAGTAGGGTGATTGGAAGAGAATGGGGCTGTACCTTTTATAATTATATGTAAAGAGGTAATTTTGGTAGGTGCAACTTTTTCAAGCTGTTAAAATGGTTGTGGGTGTTTGATCACATAATTCCAATCAATGTTATTACTCTCTAAATGAGCTATTGCTGTATCATGATTTATTGAGCTGATATCCTATCCAATATTATGGTATACTTGTGTATGTGGAAGTTCATAGTATGCACGGTATAAATGAGACTTTAAAAAGTTACCTGGGCAAAGTTTGAATGATGCTATCAGTGGCACTTTGCTTAATAAATGCTATAAATTGCTCCCTCTTCTAATATTACTTTGAGGACATTTGTCATGATACCAACAAATCAATTTCTCCTCAAAAGAAACATTTAGCTTTCTTAGTTTCTATGACACACTTTATAACTGTTAAATAAAT